ATACTCGATACAATGAAAGATTAAAGAGTCTCCTACTTCATGTATTTCCTGTGACATCTTTTATATACTCGATATACAATGAAAGATTAAAGAGTCTCCTACTTCATGTATTTCCTGTGACATATTTTATATAATTGATATACAATGAAAGATTAAAGAGTCTCCTACTTCATGTATTTCCTGTGACATCTTTTATACACTCCATATACAATGAAAGATTAAAGAGTCTCCTACTTCATGTATTTCCTGTGACATATTTTATATAATTATTGAAGTAGGAGACTCTTTAATCTTTCATTGTATAGTTTTTGTACTCTGGTGCAAACGGAAGTCCGATTATACGCTTCTCTGGATTTAAGAGTCGGTTTGTTTCTTTTTTTTTTCCAGCTATGGTCCATTTCCAAACTTCGCTCACTGAACAATGCTTTATTGTTACCCTCAACATTATATTATATACTGCTCAAAGTGCTTGCTGTACATACTTCACAAGTTAACCAATGTACACACTGTAAAGATTCTGTTGATTTACCATATAATATAAAGTTAACCGACTTTTTATAAGGACGTTAACAAACCAGAACGTGCATCAAACCCTAAACGGTGCTGTTATCTTACCAAGATTCATTAAAATTTAGCAAATCCAGTTAAGATCATTGTATCGAGTATATAAAAGATATCACAGGAAATACACCGAGACACTAATGTAAGATTGTAAAGAATGTAGAGTGTGTGATATAGAAAGCTTCAGTCGAATCCGTAAGGGATTACAATAGTTATTATAATGGTAAAATATGACGCTAATGTTCTTTAGAAATGATATTTTGTAACACTTCAGTTACCATTTCAAAATATTAAGAACTCGGCTACAGAAAGCTGTGTAATCGCTAGGACGGCAATAATAAAGACAAAAAACACCTTTATTCCAAAAGAGAAATGTATGTGTGTGTGTATGTATGTATGTATGTATTTTATTTGTTGTGGTATAAAATATATTACTTAACGTTGGCTAACGGATACTATATCATATCCTATTAGGTGCTGCAGTTTAGAGATAAATCAGCTAAGCTAAGTTGATGAAAATCTCTTTGCATAACACTATCAATCACGAAGAAGTGAAAATGAGTTTGGATATGTCAAAGAAATTCGCATCAAGCTATTTTCCACACATAAATACGTTTAAAACTCCTTGGATAAAATTACTTATCATCGATCTGGCTGAGCCGACGAAAGCTGATATAACTCTAAACTATAGTTCTCATCTGGTCATGATATGGTACATGTTATCCAATATTAGCAAATACGTTTCATGATACAACAGAGGAAGAAATAAATAAAAAAATAAATTACTGAAAGAAAAACTATTTTCAGAGATGTAACTGTTTATAATGAAATATAAAACAGGTATAGACGAGAACAACTAGTTCACTTCATTCAGGGAATCAGATGTAACTGTTTATAGTGAAATATAAAACAGGTATAGACGAGAACAACTAGTTCACTTCGTTCAGGGAATCAGATGTAACTGTTTATAGTGAAATATAAAACAGGTATAGACGAGAACAACTAGTTCACTTCATTCAGGGAATCAGACGTAACTCTTTTTTTTTACGTATATAGAATTTTTAGTAAAAATACCCATAAGCGAAGTTTTAGTTCACCTGTTCCCCGGTAGTGGCGCTTTCCCACACACAGTTTAATTCGCGGTATCGTAAGTTATATTATATAGAATAGAATAAAGATAGCAGTTCTCTATTATTAAAATAGATTAAAGAAGATAAGTAATAACGTTTCTTTTATCAGATATATTTTTAGATGTAATAATATATAAAGATAACGATATCCACTTTGAATCTAAGTTTATTACTTTTTCTCATAACTGACGCAAATGTAAGTTGCGCAGAAACACGTATTTTCTTTGTATAGAAACTTATAAGGCAAAACAATCTTCTAAATGGTGTAATTTTCATTCGAACATAATCCTAAGTTCAACGCTCTGAAAAAAATAATCATCTTCAAAAATATCAAACTCAATAATCAACAACCATTACCTGAGTAATATCTGATGTCCTTACAAACTTTCCAGACTAATTATTTGTAAGAGACTTTCAGCTCTGCAGACACACACGAAGGAACGTATATGTTTGTGTGCCAACTTTACAGCTTTGTATAAAATTATATGCACATCACCTTGCACTTTTTAATTTTCGTTATTACAGCAATGTCTATAAACAGTAGCAAACATGTTACGAGAACAAACTTTTCCATTTGCTCATATTTTCGTGGATTAAAACTGCTTCATTAATTTTAATGGTGTATGGATTTTGTTTACGTTAACTACAGAGTTCTTGACTTCAGACAAGGGATTTGTAGCATTGACGTTCTGAATATCATGCACGTGCTCTGTTATCGTATCCAAGCAACAGAAGATTTGTTCTGATACATTGTTAGTTTTGAGATAGGGCTAAACGTTAACCATAATAATAATTACATTTTGTATAAACAATGATTAATTCGTTTTTTGTTTTTTTTTGTCCTGAGTTCTATTGCCGAAGCGATTTCTGTCAACTGTTTAATTGTAAGTGTTCGGTAGATAAACTTCATGATTCGATAACAACGTTGCAGGCCGTGTTTTGTTGCTTTCCGTTTCGTACCGTGTTTGTCTTTTGTGCACTGATTTACTCAGTATGGATGCTAGAGACGTACCTGGTTTCTAGAGTAAGTCAAAACATCAGTCTCTGATTCACTGTGATACAAGTTGTGATTTATGATACGGGAAACGTATTTTGATTACATTCATGTTTAATTCCGATTGGAGGCATTTCATATTTCTTTACTTTCTTTAAAATGTGTGGTAGTAATGTTAGTTTTTGTACTAAGCATCTTTTCACTAAAAACTTTAAGTTTTCTCTAACATTTGATGTTATTTATGTTATGAATGCAATAAGATGCCTCATTAATGTTCCTCTGTTCACTGGAGTGGAATGACGTCAGTAATAATTTGGCAGAGTATTCACTTGGTCCTTGTTAATGTGACGGCATTATCCAGTAACAACAGTGAGCTGTTTAGTGTTAAATAGTGGGCTTGAAACTTACGAGCGGGCGAATTGTGTTGATGAAGTATTGGACGCAGAGGAAAGATATCAAACTAGAATTCCATTTTACAAACGTATCATCTAAAAACTTATGCCACACGAATAAACAGGTGTTTCCGTTTACTTTGCCTCGCTTGGTTTCCAAAGATGCACACGAACATAGGTTACTATAATTATGATTTTTAGAGCTGTACATCAGTGTTGGTAGTAAAATATGCCATGCATCAAACAACCGTCTGAAAAGAAATCAAATAAAAGGTTTGATTATCATATAGAACGTTCCATATACTATGATAGATTATGGTGCAATAATACTCAATAAAAAAAAAAAAACTTAGAAGGCTCTAGCATCATGACGTAATAATATAACAACCACCCATTCCTAACTAGTGAACTACACAATGTATGATTCGTAAACCGTTACGTAAACAAATCTACGATAAACTAAATTTAAAATCCACGTTAGATTAACTATCTAGATCATAACACTAACATTCAGAAAGTCACGTGAAAGATAGAGGAGCCTCCTTAGTGACTCAGCGGTAAGTCTTAGAGCTTATAACGTTAAAAATCATGTCTCGATACTCCCGATGGGCGGAACACAGATGACCCATTTTGTTTGCATTTGTGCTTAACACCACCTAAAGAAAGAATAGAGGATTTATATTATGTGGTGAGGCAAGTTTCAATACTGGCATTTTTTCATTGTAAATGACTCACAAAATGAGGAATGCGTATAAAGGCATAACATGGTTGAATAAGTAATAATATACTTGCAATGAACTGTTCTTCCATTGCAGTCTTCATTTGGATATTTTCATGGAGTAATTAAACAAGGTAGTTTTAAATGGAATGACGTTTTGACATCATTTATTTTATATAGTTAAAAATCTATTAATCTATTAAATAAACCAGTCGAAAAAGATACAAGCTCTTAAAGCTGTAAAGTTCTATTGCTTGTCATCTGAGTGACAACTAAGTTTCTTTATTATGAGCTGAAGAAACCTTATTGATGAAATTATAATTCAACGATATTAACTTTTAAAAATATTGGCTTTTAGATTGCACAATTACTTCTGTAACAAATGTTTATAGTCACAGATGTCCAAGTATACAGTTAACAATTACCCTGAACCAGTCATGAGTTTTAGATGTTTTCATAGACCTCGGATCCAAAATAAGCCTTTAACACATGCCATCTCTCAACTTATTATCTTAAATATATTATTAATCTCCTGTACACATTTCGAGATTACTTCTAATTATTGGTACTAAGATATAAAGGTAAAACATTTAGATTTTGTTTACTTTGTTGAATTACTGTAGTAAATCCTAAACCATCGCAATATTTAATCATAAATGTTCATATTCAAGTTTTTTATTTGTTATTAAGCACAAAGCTACACAATGGGCTATCTGTGCTGTGCTCACCACAGGTATCGAAACTCGGTTTTTAGCGTTATAAGCCTTGAGACTTACTGTTGAACCAATGGGGTGAGGGCTCATTTAAAGTATTTCAAATATATTAAGTATGTCATATAGGTGATACATTAATTTTACATAAAAATGTATCCATTTTTATTCGAAGTGAACTTTTAAAAGTTATTTATAGTGTGAATTATAGCCACTTCTAAGAGATAAAGATATAATCAAGACTTAAACAAGTATGAAACAACGCATTGTTCTTTTACCTAGGTAGGATTTAAATCCTTTTATCTTCAGATATTAGTTACGCTTTATAGTAAATTTTGTGTAACTAAAATAAATGCAAGATAATGCCCCTTTATAACATGCAAGTGAAGGTGCGATGGCTTTCGGTTTACACACTAGCCATACAGAAGCGAATAAAAACAAACTTTAATCAATCTCTTACATGATGCATTGCATACACGAACGTGATGGAGTCTTTTCACAATTGTAACTAGATAATATTTCAGTTCTAAACGAAGAACATGTCATATGTAGGTAAATATAAGAGATCCCAGTAGTTTGCAGTATTTTTTTACTTCACTAGTTTCTATCAGTCATAGCTTGAAATTTCGTACAAAGAAATATTTCCTGTAAGTAAAGAATGGCTTATCTACTGCACACAGTTTGCGTCATTGAAATTCAAGACAATTTGCTGGGATAATTGTTGGTTCGTGCCACCAGAGGCCCCACACAACAAGAATAATAGATTTTCTGTAAATCGAAATTAGTGAGCCCATTATTAAAAAAGTATATATGTATCTTGGATAGAAATAGTATTTCATTGTTGAGGTACTTACTGACAAAGAATAGCACAAATGGAAAAGCCGCATCTTTTTATGTCTAGAACAAGACTGAATAGTTCCAGTTGCCTAAGATTTAATGTCATTAAAGGATTTTGCATTAAATAGCAATATAGAAAACATCTAGTTTCGTGCGGTGCAACCTTTTTTATGTTTGTAAGATGTTAAAGATACGTTATTAATACTGTGTTTTATGTTGTTGTTGTTTTTATAAAAATAATTTTTTATCCTTTTCTTACAAATATAACCATAAACGTATGTGTAGACTGCAACACATTAAAACTTTTGTATATTTGTATTGAAACAGGCTCCATTTTTCGAAGTAGCCTTCAGTAACGAATTATTGATAAAATCGATATTAGCCGTCTAAACTTTTCAACAGCGAGAAACTACATAAAACTAGATACACTTCTAACAGTCTGTACTTAGTACCCACATGTGTCCTACAAAATGATTTAGCTATCTATTTCTATTTTCGGCCTCCCAGTGGCACAACGGTATGTCTGCGGACTTACAACGCAAGAAACCGCAAGATAGCCCCTGTTTAGCTATGTGCTTAACTTCAAAAACAAAACAAACAAAAACAATTTCTATTTTTGAAGTTAAGCACAAAGCTACGCAATGGGCTATCTGTGCTCTGACCACCACGGGTATCGAAACCCGGTTTCTTGCCTTGTAAATCCGCAGACATACCGGTGTACCACTAGGAGGCATGATTTAGCTGATAATTAAAATCGATATATAATATATATATATCTTCTACTTCCTTTACTTTTAGATTGCTTTAAGTAATAAATGAAAACTTCAATTTCTATATGGATTTATGCCTTTTTTCTCAAATCTCTTAAATGTAGACTATTTTTGTATGAGCCTATACAGAGACAAGTGGTATACAGTCTTAAAATGATTTGGATGTACTTTAAAAATCAATTTTTGGATGATCCGTTTTTTTAATACAGTCTTAAATTATGTAGTCGAAATTAAGATGATTACCTTACATAAGACAATATGTTTTTTTTAAAAAAAAGCTCTTACCAATTAAGCTAAATATCAAACTTGCAACTGACATTAAATATTCAATAGATTAAACTTTTACATATAAAATATAGTTGGTACCAAAATATACCGAAAGAAACGTATAAATGAAGCTCAGTTAAATGGTGGTAAATAAGAGTTAATAATAACATTGAACTTTTAATTATTGTAGGAGCCATCTATCGTTTCCCTGTGGGTCAGCGATAAGCTTATGGATTTACGGCGCTAAAACCTGGAGTTCGATTCCCCGCAGTGGACAAAGCGCAGATAGCCCAAACAAACAATTCAATCCAGTATTAGTCCTAGAACTAAACGGAGTTCATATTGACCCCTACTGCGTTTGGAACATATTTTCTAAATTATTTATGCATCAAATTGTGGGTACATGATTTTGTTGGTTACCGGATCCTTAATAACATATACACCTGGAAAAAAGTTAAGCACCCCTGTGTTTTTTTCAAGTGATTCAGATTCGACGTTCTTGTGACTGATTATAAATTACCATTCAATCTAAACGTGTTT